ACACTCAAACAGTGGTGAGATGGAAGCGAAATAGAATATTAGGTTTGCACTTGCCTTTGGGAGCTTGGTGTATGGATGGGAATCTGTTGAAGCAGGAAGCATTGGCGTATTTCAAGAGTTTACTAGGTTCTTTGGAGGCTACGGCACAGGTGCTACCACCTTGCCCTATATCTTTATCACTGGAGGAGTAGGCTAGCTTGGAGGCTCCGGTCTCTAAGGCAGAGGTGTTCGCTGCTCTACGAGGTATGAAATCTTTTAAGGCCCCAGGTCCTAATGGATTCCAACCAATTTCTATAAACAGTACTGGCACATGATAGGGGATGATGTATGGCGATTTGTGGCTTCGGCTTTTGAGAATGGGAGAATTGATGCTCTTGCTACTGAAACTCTGTTGGTTCTTATTCCTAAAGGGGATCATCCTCGTACGTTCAAAGATTTTCGGCCCATTAGCTTGTGCAACGTGGTGTACAAGTTAGTATCTAAGGTGTTAGTTAATCGGCTATGGCCATTCCTTATGAGGATAGTCAGTCCTTTCTAGAGTAGCTTTATTCCAGGAAGGGGCACTATGGATAATGCAATCATTCTCCAGGAGATCGTCCACACTCTGTCCAAACTAGATCTCGAGAAGGCTTATGATAGAGTGGATTGGCGTTTCCTTCAAGAGGTATTAGCAGACTTCGGGCTACCTAGGCTGGTTAATTTGATACTTTCTAGAGTGATGTCAGCCAAGTTGTCTTTGTTATGGAATGGTGAATGCCTAGAGGGTTTTAGACCTAAGAGAGGGCTTCGACAAGGTGATCCTTTATCACCTTACTTATTTTTCTTATGTATGGAGTGATCGGGCCATATAATTCAATAGCAAGTTTCTGCTGGGGTTTGGGCTCCCCTTAAGTTAGGTCCAGATGGCCCCCCTTTATCCCACCTGTTTTTTGTAGATGATGTTCTGTTGTTTTCAAAAGCGACACCATTGCACATTAGAATGGTGATTAAGAGTCTGTAGGGGTTCTGTGATGCATCTGGCATGAAGGTGAATCTAACCAAGTCTCGAATGATGGCTTCTAAAGGAGTTCCGCGAAGCAGGAAAAATTCATTAACGCAAATTACAAATATTTTCTTCGCAAATGATTTGGGAAAGTATATGGGTTTTTAGATGTTGCGTGGTAGGGTTATGACTCGACATTTTGGTGAGGTTATGACTAAGGTGTAAGGCCGCTTGGCTTCTTGGAAGGAGCGACTTTTGTCTCGGGTAGGTCGGATTGCCTTGGTCAATTCTGTGCTGAGCGCTATCCTGGCATACACTATGGAGACTCAATGGCTACCTTCCGGAATGTGTGACCAGTTGGATACACTTAGTAGGAGGTTTATTTGGAATGGGGAAGGTGTGCGGAAACTTCATTTGGTGAAGTGGGAGACCCTGACTCGACCAAGGAAGGAAGGAGGTTTAGGTGTATGTATGGCGCGTAAAACAAATATTTCGTTGTTGGGTAAGTTGATTTGGGATTTGTTTCATCATACGGACAAATTATGGGTAAAAGTGGTCATGGCAAAATATAGAGATAGAGATGTTGCTAGTTTATTGCAAAGGTCGGGTTCTTATGTTCTTACTTCCTTACGGAGAGCTTTTGAGGAGCTTCGACCGGGGTTTTGATTCCACTTGGGTGATGGTGAAGCCAGCTTCTGGTTTGATAATTGGTTTCATGAAGGGCCACTTGCCAATGAGGTCCCCTTTGTTCATTTACATGATTTAACTTTCCATGGGCGGGATGTGTGGCAGGATGGAAGGTGGCATTTAGAACAACTCCACTCCTGGCTGTCTACAGAGATCAAGGCAAGAATCCTTAGCATGCAAATTTGGTTGCATCCCTCCGCGTCAGATGGCATTGTTTAGGAGGCCTTTACAAATGGAGAATACCTAGCTCGGAGAGGGTATCGATGGTTGTGTGATAGGGATGTGGTCCCTTCTGGTGGGTGGTAATGGATTTGGAGGCTTCCATTGTCGGAGTCAATTCGATTTTTCTTATGGTAGGTTAGCCATGAATCTCTTCCCACTGGTGCCTTGTTGGTGCCACAACATGTAACTCACGATGGGCATTGTTCGAGGTGTAGAAATGAGGTGGAAAGTGTTGCGCATGTGTTGTTTCGTTGTGAACATGCGACCTAATTGTGGCATTTATTACATTTGGAGGAGGTGGTCTGTTGGTGGTTAGGATCTTGGCAACAGTGGCTTAAGTTGTACTTTCAGAGGTGCCATATCCTTCTAATCTTTTCTTGTTGGGTTCTATGGAAGATGCATAATGAACATATTTTTAATGGGTGTGACTTCTGTGTGGGAGGCCTTACGTCGGGTTCATGCTTTGCATGCTACCATGGTACATGCTTTTGCGGTAGCTGATGATAACATACCACATGATATGGGGCTTACGTGGGTCTCTTGTATCTTTGCTGAGGGGCTACAAACTAGTCTCCATGTTGACGCCAGCTTCAATACAACATCAGGTTATGCAAGCATTGGTGGTCTTGCAAGAGACTCCAATGGTAGGTGGTTGTGGTGGTTCTATGGGGCGGTTGAGGTTGTCAACGCCCTTCAGGTGGAATTACTTGCCATTCTCCACGGGTTGCGGATTGCTTGGAACAAATGCACGCAATCTGTGTTATGCGTTTCGAACTCAACTGTAACGGTAGAGCTCATTACGCATGATATCCAAAGTACTAACAGATTTGCGGCTATCCTTTACTCAATTTAGGAGCTAGTGCATAGGCTTTGGACGATTCATTTTGAACATTCCTTCCAAGAAGGGAATAAGTGTGCTAATTTATTGGCTAGACTGGGGCAAACGCGAGATCTAGAGGTGGAGGAGCTTGTTTCCCCTCCACCTGAGGTGGAGTCTCAAGTGTAGCAGACATAGCTGGAGGTCTGATCGTCATATTGTAATTTTGTTATTTTGCTTTTTTGACAGTACTTTACCAAAAAAAATGATAATAATGTATGTTACTAACTCATAGTTAATTTGACTATAAATGTTCACATGACTACTTAATAAATGTCAGATCATATAACATGTGTAATTTTTCTATTCGTTCATAGTCACACATTCTTTTTTAAAAATAAAAGATATTATTAAAACAACTCTTTAATCCTATAACAATAAATAGATAATAAAAGTACACATGCCATATAATTTGATATCTAGTAAGTAATGTTGTAAATATCAATAACCAAGTCAATAATGATTTATAAATATATATCATCATTTAAAAAATAGAACTTAATCTCATAAACTAATTTATGTAATAGAAAACTAATGAAGAGCTAAAAGTTAGAAGAAGAAAAAAATGAAGGACTAAAAATGAAATTTTTAAAAAATTAAAGGAATCAACTTATTTAACCCATCTTTAACAAATTTCATCTCTTCCACCCGATTACTCCCCTCCACACCCCTTTCTTTCTCTTTCCCCTCTTACTGAATTAAAGTCTCCGCCACACACCGCCTACTTCCCCCTTTTTCATCTTTGCAATTGTTTATCCCTTCCCAATACACTTTTTCCCCCCTAAGATCATATGGTGCATACACATTCACTACCACAAAGTTCTCCTTACCTTCCCTCCCACCTCCCATCAACCCCAATAAGCTTTACATGTATAGTTAATCAAAGCATATAAAATTTAACTAATTTATAGTTCAATTAGATTTTTAACTATTTATATTCATTTTTAGTAAGTTTTATTTATTTAATATTTAATATCCTAAAGAGAAAAAGAAAAAATTAATAAAATATAATTTTACATTCATAAATATTTAATTTTTACTAGAAAAACTTGAATGCTGAAAACAATTTTCCTAAGAAAGCTTCTTGATCACAATTAAAATGAGTCTTGCAAATAAAAACTTAGACAATATGTATAATAATAACATGGACATTAATAAAAAAATTATTACTAGATGATAATATATACAAATTCTAAATATGTCAATTTTTCCATAATTGATTTCCAAAATAATTCCACCCCATTTAACCTAGTGAAATTGCATACACAAGTACATTCATGGTTGTCAATCTTTAGTGATAACTCGTACGAGTTTACAAGATTAGGATAGCTTACTTGTATAACTCGGGAGTAAACTCGTTTTTGAATAATCTCGAAGTAATCTCGGTAATCTCGGTGATATCGCAAGATCAATCCCGAGTTTAAAAGATCACATTTTTTTTGTTCTCCAAATAAACAAAACGCTCGTTTTGGGTTAGGGCTGAGAATTGACTTAGTGTCTCATTTCACTCTCGGACGATCTCCTTCACAGCTTCGCTGTCTTCTCCACAACAAAGGCAAACTATTGCGCATTCTCCTCATGTCTTCTCCACGGTTAAGGCGCAAACTACTTCTCTTCCGTGTGTTCTCCTTCGTGAACGACCACTCTTCTCCACAAACCACCATTCTCCTCCAGAACCACTCTTTCTCCTTCGCAAACAACTCTTCTCCTTGCGCGAAGCACCATTCTCGTTCACAAACTACTCTTTTCTGTACGTAATCGTCTACCTTCTCTTCCACGACTATGCTTCTCCACGACTTTGCTTCTCCACATCTCTAGTTAGGGTTTTTACTCATTAATTTTTTTGTAATTCATTTTTAACTTACTCTTAGTTTTTTATTTGTCTATTTTTAAGAACTTGTATTTTGTCATTTAACTTTTTTAAAAACTTTAGCATTTTATTATTGATATAATTTGTTACTTTACTCTGTAATTTGTTATTTTACTCTATCATGTTATTTTACTCTTTAATATGAAATTAAAATGTTTAATTATTATGTTATTTTTAATTATTTTTAAATTTTTTATTAAGTAATCTCTTATAAGTTTACGAGACAAATTTACATAACCTTCACAAAATTTAGTAAACTCTCGAGATTAACAATACTAAGCACACCACTTCAATAATATTTCTGTGGTGCAACTGTTTCACAATCCATATTAATGAGAAACGAAGGCCAGTCATTGTGAGAATTGGAAAATCTTGTGATGAGTCATTCCCGGTAAAAAAAGACAGACTCCACCTTAACATTAAAAACACAATTCCGGAGAAATATCTGGTCAACCACGAAATTCCCTAAATGGGATTGACCTTGGAACATTTATTACAGAAGTCGAAGGTAAGATTAAAAAAATGTTTCACCAGCAATTTAGAAAGGACAAACGATACTATCTTAATATCGCCACTGTTGAATATATTACAGAGATTGCTCTCCAGCAATTAACCAGTCAGTGCTGAAGCTCCAGATATAATCTCAATCAATTCAGTGGTGATTGATGCTTGACGAGTTCTGCAACAAAAATGAACAGCGAGACCACTCAGTCAAAACACAAGGTGAAAAACTGAGTAGAGATAATTATAACCCCAGAACATTTTCCAACGAAAATATTGATTGTTGAAAGCAATTATGACAAGCTTGTAGAAAAAGAGACCTGTTATAGGTTAGGGTGAGACGATCAAGCATATCCCCAGCGTTCCTGCTAGAGCTGTCCATGGCAGACATTCTTGCTCCTTGCTCACTGCAAGCATTCTCCAACACCGCATTGTACATGACCTATATAGCAAAGTAGTGTATAAAGATAAATAAAGCATGGTCTGAAACTTTCAAACATAAGTCTTATTTGAAGCAGAGGTTCCAGGATAACATCTGAAAATCGAAAAGAAAATAAAACACAAGTCTAGAAAGGAAATGTACAAATACAACAAGGAATACGGCTAAATTAGCACAAGGTTGATGCAATGCCAGAATCCTCACAGTTAAATTAATTGGGATCCTCTATATGAAATTTCGAAATCAAAAGGCATTAAAAAGTAAAAGCATACCAAAGAAAAAGGAAAACATGTACAGCAACTTAGTTTGAAAGAGTCATATATCTACACTAATAATCTATACTAATAACAAAAGAGATAGCCCTACTTGGTGTACACAATTTTCTTCCCTATTTTACCCTTAATAACTGCATGCACATTTTGTTAAATAAACTGTATGTACACATAGACAACCCCAACTAAGAAAAAATTGTTATTCTCTCATTTTTCATGGATGCAAGGAATGCCTTTTTCAAGCTAATATATATAAAGAAAGTAAAATCCAGAATGTATCTAGTATTTTGCCATCCATGAATTCAGATAACCGTCTGATAACACAGCCAAAGTGAACTCAGTCACTCCGTCACAGTCAAGAAAGGGAGGGGGGTTGAAACATTAGAAAGCAAACAAATATGAGGTAAATTGTATTCTGTGACTCTTATTTATTGAAATGTGTCCATTCCATTTTTTTTTATCAAGGTTTGAAAATAACTCAGGATTCATCAAAAAATAGGTCCATTAAATGAAGGATAAGATACTTAGTGTGAAGACTTGTTACAACCTACTTTGTTATACATATACATGTACACACACACAAATAAAAAGAATAAATCCCTTGCATAGAACTTCTACCCTATTTATAGATTCATTGCTTAGTTATTTTTCCTTAGAATAGCTTCAATCATTGATGGCAATTTCACCACAGTAGTAAGATTGTTGCCTTGTGATCTGAAGGTCATCAGTTCCAATCCTAGAAACAACCTCTCTTGTAAATGCTGCATGCATCTACCCTTCCCAGATCCAGGTAGGAGGCCTCATGCTGAGTTTCCCTTTTGCATCACTCCAATAATTAGACAGATCATCATAGGAGAATTTACTCTTGTGGATTTAATTGTATTTTGCCATCAGTTTAGGAAAAGCTGACCAATTGGGTAGATACGTAAAACAAATTCTTTTCCACTACTTTAACATGTATGAAGAAATATTCCGAGTTTTCATTTTTTGAGATAAATCAAAGAATAAATATTTACATGAAGATAGAAATGTTCCTAAAGAAAAACTTTTAAGAGTAAATTTCCATGCATTGTTATAAAATAAAAATAAAAAATAAAAAATAAATAAAAAAAGGCTAGTTAGTTTGTGGATACTCACACAAGAAAACTGAAAATCGGCCAGATTCTGAAGAATTTCTGATTTTGTCTCACCACCTTCAATCTCATAAGAATCCAGTTCCCCAAGCTTTCCTCCGGCTTCAGCCTCTTTCTCAATAACCTATGTGAAAATTGCCGCACTTTAGAAGAGTGAACAAGTAAATGGCATGACACCGAAGCTTATCATTGCAAAGTATAAGTCCCTTCAGGCTTTTCTACATTTAAAGCAACAGTAAACCCAAAATCTTGCCAAGACTTGATGTTAGGACTCAGAAAGACTCGTTTTTGGATTCTATAGACAATATAAAACATTTATAAATGGAAGTACCTCGGGAGATAGTATTGTTGACACTGTTGGCAAAAATGATACAACAGAATGAAATTTGTTGAAAACAATCCTCAATGCATCATACTCCACATTCTTTAGAATGTCATCTGCCAAGACAGACACCTGAAAAATCCAACAAATAGAATAAAACAAAGTAGGCATTTTGGTGCAAGATTGAGCAATCTAGCATATTTAAAATGTATCCATGTTAGAGGCAATTTTCACTTCCAATCATCAAAATTCACATTTACAAGTTTAAATTATAAGCTTATTAGCCACTTCTTGAGTAAGTTTTTGACAAAAAGAAGGAATATTTCCCCAAAATTTCATTGAACCAAACAAGTACATGTTTAAATCTCAACAACAAATAAGCCTTATCCCCATAGGTCAGGATGGTGGCTACAGTGACCAATGAACGAATAGGTTCAATGAGAAAACAATGTGTAATTAAAAACCATTCAGAACAAGGTCATAATTTCAATCTTCAATTCAACAATTGGATTTTAAGATCAGCTGAGAACTTAATTGCATGAAAAAGAGGCGGGAAAACAAGATTTTAAGATTCAAAAGCACACTAACAGTTAACATCTAGTCATCTACAAGATATTCTGTAACTGTTGTCCACCTAGATCTCTATTTTCCAATGCTTAATTCTTTTTCCTAAAAATAACAGCCAACGAAAATATCAATCTGTCAAATTCCTTATAATGTTGCCATTCTATCATAAACAAAACTTAATGTCCAGGCTTCAGAATAGGTTAAAACAAAAGTAAGCTCTTCAGAAAAAAAAAATGTACATGATATATTCACTTAAGACTATCAACCATTCAGTAGCAGGGAGACAAAAAAGCTAACCTGAGTATAATTCAGGGGGTTTTTCTGCAATTCAGTTAGGGTGAGCTCAATGTCTTTCTTGGAGTCACGTACCAATTGAACTTTAGCCTTCTCTCCCAATAGAACATACTTTGTCTCTTTATCAGGCCCTAAAGTAGTAAATATGCATAAATTAGAACCATAATTATCAATATCAGATAGTGGGCCACAGTGGTCAGCCCCGTAAACACTACAGTCAGATAGTGGATAGCATAATGGCATCTATTCTAAAGATTTCAAATACAAATTAAATATTTACTACTACACATAAAAATGCTCAAAAAAATATTTTTTTTAAAAAGTATCATAAACTTAAGGTATATTCATAATTATAATTATAAATTAATATTAAAAAGTCATAGTCTTAAGCTAACTACAAAATAGCAATGATAACAAGAGTCAAGAAAATGAGGAATCAAATAAGTTTATGCATATACTTGAAGTAGAAAACTCAGAATACAGAGAAAAAGAGGTGCAACACTGCTATTTGAAATGGACCTAGCTTAGCTCTATACGGGGAAGGATTGCCCAAAGAGGGGGGGGAGGGGGATTGGCCAAGTCTTTTAAGGAGTATCTATTCGGACCATATTACTGGCCAATGAAAGATATCTTAAAACACCCTCTCATACGTAGGAGACATCTGTGAGTGACTCCAAGTTAAGACAAGATAGGCTTTGATACCATATGGTAACAAACCAGTTTAACCAAACCCCAAAAGCTAGCTCAAGAGGGGAGGATTGCCCAAATCTTATAAGGATTATACCAGCCAGATTCCTTTTCAATGTGGGGCACCTCAACAACTGCAATAGAAGAATAGACGCATACCAAAGGCAAGACTTATAGAAGAGAGAAAATACTTGCAATGAAACTGAGTTGTGCTATAGAGCACATGCAGAACAGAGCAATAGGTTGCAGTGAATAGCAGGAAAATGCTGGGCTTGGTTAGAACAATGCCAATGATCAATGGTTCAAAGGGATTTTTTCAACTAGTGTTTTGAACCCATTACACTGCAAATGGGAAAAAAAAAAGGAGTAAAAATATGATCTGCTAATTTTATTGGAATTATGTAGGTAAATAACATTTCGGTAGAATGCATTATAATAAGTATCTTTTTCCCTTGCTGTTTCATTTGTGCAAAAATCCAGACTCATGATAATCTCAGTAAGGTACATTACCTATGAAGCCTAGATACTTAGCATGACACGGGTACAATATGACACGGATACAGGGATACAATTTCTTTTTTTGAAATTAAGGATACGACACGTTATAGATACGTTATAAAAATAGAAATTTTATATAAATATAAAATATTGGTAAAAAAAGAGAGAAAGGTGTCTTTGTAGTGTATAGATATTAACTTTTGAAAGGTTTTTTCCATTTAAAAATTTTTAAACTAAAAATAAAAAATTTAAAATATTAATAAAACGAACATCTGGGTAAAAAGGACGCATCCAACAAGCATCACATGTTATAAAGCTGTATCGGAGCTGTATCCTATAATTTTTTTAAAAAATTAAAAATAATCGGAAACGTATCTTGGCATATCTGAGCCATATCGGTGTCTAATACTTTTCCATTTTTGGAGTACCCAGGCTTCATAGTATATTACTCAGCAAAAGGGTTCTGTATACTGACAGTAACATAAGCCCATCATTTGGATAAAAGGCTCCAAAACATTGAGTGTTTTTAGCATCACTAAAATTAAACCCTAAATCAAAATACCCTTCATCAGATCACAAATTTTCTCTGATTCTCCTATTACGAAACATTACAAAATTAAAACCCATATCATCCAACATTACAAACTTACATTTCCAAACATAATATTCTAAAAACAACCCAGTCAAACAAAAACAGTATTTACCATCCCAAAAATGCAAAAATTACCAGAATTCAATTTGTGCAGAATCCTGCTTATCTTGACAGACGTGGAATTGATTCCACCACAAAGACCTTTGTCCGAAGAAATGGTAACAACAACGTTCTTCTTAACATCAGCACCTTAAGGAAAATAAATAAAATAAAAACACAAGACAAGGTAAGTGCATCAGAAAAAATAAAACCCACACACTAATGTGTTCGGGAAAGCTGTGAAAATTAGGATATTTCAATAATCAATTATATGTAAAACCAATTATTGTTATAATCAATTATAATCAGAACAAATTTTTGTTTGAGTAAATTTGCTGAAAAGTGATTTTGAGATATTTAATTCCGTTTGGATATAACAAAGAATCAACTTTTATGTAATGAATTAACTTAAGAAGAAAAAAAGCTGTCGGAAAATAATCATATGATTCAAATTTTCAAATTCTAGAAAACAGACAGCTTTTTTTTAAAAAAAAAAAACATTGTTAGCAAATTTAAGCTGTTGCCCTAAACAACCCGCTTATTTCTAAACAGTTTTTCTTTTATAAAAAGAGGTGAAAGTGAGGGAAATAATCCTTCGGAAACACACTATAATAACCTACAACATAACTAATGCATAAAATTCTAACAATGTTTAAGATCACAAATAGATGACATTAACAATAATAATAAGATTAGAGAAACATACTGGGATTGTCACCGAGAAGAGCCGTGAAGGGTTGCCAGAGGCCACGGGAATTTTCAGCTCTGGTTTGAACAGCACGCAGCTTGGATGCGGCAACCATCTTCATGGCCTTGGTGATTTTCTGGATATTCTTCACACTCTTCATTCGGTTCCTCACTGCATTCATTGCACAACAACGAAATCAAAAACAGAACCCTAATGCGGAACGAAACTCGAACGGCGAATAGGGGAAGGCAGAAACGGATCGTACCAATTTGAGTGGAAATGGAGCGAGCCCCATGAGGAGCTTGGTCTCTGAAAACACAAAGTGAAATCAAAAATCAAAAATTTGCATAATAACATTGAGTGAAAGTGCGCGTGTGAGAGAGATCGAGATCTGTTATTTACTGAGAGATGAGAGAGGAATGGGATTGGAGGGCGTTGATGGGTTGCGCCAAACGCCTCCCTTCGCGTCGCAGAGCAGCAGCCATGGCCATCGATGATGATGATGATGATGATGATGCAGTGATCGCTCTTCTGAAACCCTAATGCGAGTTTGTGTTGTTTGGTTTGGTTTAGGAACGAAGCTTTTTCACACTTCCAAGTGCTATACTTTGTTGTGTTGTGTTGTCACAAACCCCACACACTTTTCCGAATGCTTTGTTACTGTTTCCTATTTACCACGGAAAATAATAGTAAATACCAAACGCTACAAATTTGTAAAATTGTAATTAATAAAATGGGATTTGCTTTCATATTTTTTTAATTTGTATTTTTTTCTCTAAATTATATTTTTTTTTAAGATTTGTTTTGGTTGCTTATTTTAAAGTATTTATTTAAATTTTTTATTTCTTAAATTTTGGTCAAATTAATTTTTAAAGAAAAATGTTTGATATTCCGAATGAAGTGACCGAAACCTGTTACAAGTGATTAAAAAATTCATTTAAATAATAAAATATTAAATTAAATAATTATTTTATAATAAATTTATTAAAAATATTAATATTTTAATTATTCGGAAACTCATTTGAAATTTGCATCGGAGGATATAGTACTCCTCTTTTTTAAAACTATATTCGGAATTTGCATTGGAGGATATAGTACTCCTCTTTTTTAAAACTATATTTGTTTTCAATTTTGAAGTATGATTGTAATTCTGTGAATCCTTTTTTTTTTTACATATTCAAGAATTGAAATTTTTTTTATTAACTTCACTTATATGAAAATTATTAAATACAACAAGTATAATAAAAATTACATAAAAATAAGTCAAAAAAAAGTAACTAAAAGGTTTTTAAAAAAAATTAATTTGTTGTTATTTTCTAATTGCTCATGGAGATATATTTCACACATGTTTCACTACATTTATAATCTTTTTAAATTCAAATGTTAATTAAATTTCATAAATTTTATATGGACGAATTTAGTTTCACAAGTTTTACGTCTTAAAAAATTAATAAAAAATTGATTATTGTTTAAAAAGATCAAATTAATTAAAATATTAAAAAATAAGGTACTGAAATAAATATTTTAATAGATAAAGAATCAATAAAAATATAATTTAACATTTTTTTTTGTAAATCAATGTATCTCTTTGTTAAAAGGACTAATCCTTTGCGGTATAAGATAATATGATTAATTTAAAGTGTTGACTCTCCCAACAAATTTTTTTTATACATATTAATTAAAAATAGAATCTCTGACTACATGTTTAAGGAACAAGATTATGTATTAACTATATTTGATTTGATTTAACTATTATTAGCAAATAAAAAGAAAAAGAAAAAATAATTTATGTACCGATTGTGTAAAATAATTTTACACCATCCAATCTTAAGTCATTTGTGATAAATTATTAACTTTATGATAAATTGATAAATAAATAAAAAAAATAAAAGTAATTTCAATGGTAAAAATAGATTTGTTGATGGTATAAAATATTTTACATTTTCAGTGTATGATAGTATGATCATTAAACTCAAATAAAAAAATATAAATTGAAAGAACGAACACTGTTTTTAGTAAAATAAAAAGTAATTAAATTATAAGTAAAATATACTTTTCTTTCTCAAATATGTAAAAAACACCGGGATCGTTCTTTGTTTTGATTAGAATCTTATAGTCTTCGTTATAATTCATACTTATTAAAAAAAATAACATGTAGGCTAATATTTGAACATTTATAACACGCATGATAAATCTTATTTTATATAGTTTAAGTTTAAGTTTATAATAAAATATATTTTAGAATATATAGATTATACTATAATTAAAATTCATAAATATTTTTTAACATATAAATTGTATTTTAAATTTATATTAAAATACAATATTATTTTTAATTAATGATATTTATAAATAAAAAATACTAAAATTTAATTTAAAAGTAGAAATGAAAAAGATAAATTGAAAGGAATAAGAAACTTACATAATGTTTGGTTAGGGGAGAATGGAGAGGAGAGAGAGATTATTAAAAAAAATCTTGTTTGGTTTAATTTTTAGTAGAGGAGCAAAATTCTTCTTCATCTAATTTTCACTCCCATCCGATATTAGGAGAATTTGGAGGGGAGAAGAGAAATTTTAAACTATTTTTAATATAACGTTCAAAATATTTTTACTTATTTATTAAATTTAAAATTATGAGGATATAAAAATAAATTGTTTTTTAAAATCTTTTTTCTCCTATTGTGAACTAAACAAGAAAAAAGTTATCTCATTTTTCCTCTTCTTCTCTTGGTCAAACAAAATTTTTAACTCCCCATTTCACTCCTTTGAACCAAATGGTTCTTTATAAAAAATTTCTTAAAAACTCACGTATTGAATAATATTCTCTCTAATCTTATTATAAGACACATTTTAAAAATAATTAGTGATCTTTTTTATAAAAGACTTTACAATTCCTATAAAAAATTAATTTTATAGAGATGTTAGGAACATATTCTCTAATTGGTTTAAATTTATAAGAAAATACAAAAGTTGATGTGTCTTACATCCTATTTAATGAATCTTTATCCTAATTTTATGATTTTCAATAAATTTTAATCAATCAGAGAGAATATATTAGAAGGAGTGTATCAGAGAGTGTATTATTAGCGACCCTCCTAATTTTGATTTTTATCTTTTGTCCCTATTAAAGATTATGAAAATATATAACTTTTGTTATTGGATAAATGAGAACAAAATTTGAGAAATAAAGGTTATCTCTCCTACCTCTTAAACTTTGTAATTGTCATTTATGAAATTTATTGGCATTGGTGCATATGCTTTAATGTAAAGTAATATTTTCACCCCTCTCATGAAAAATTATTAATAAATGAGAAGAGTAAAATTAGTATATCATGATTTTGTTTTATAAATCTAGTAAAATCAACTAACATAACTACTCGTATTAATTTGTGTGATTTGAATAAAAGTGTCTTGTAATAAAGACTTGAGGGATTACTCTCTAAAAACATTTTTGTTCAAAATAATCAATTTAATCTATAATAATATATAAAGACAATTCATCATTTTCACATACACAATTTTTAAGATATTTTTGCCCTTTATTTATTATGGTAACTATACAATTCTTTTTTTAAGAGGAGGATAAATCAATAATTTCACTTTATTAATTTAAATAAAAATATTATTCTCTAAAAATAAATTGCATCATAATCATTTTGTAACTTTCACATCTCACAACATTAACAAAGTACTGAGTGCATTTTTTTTATTAGTTTATTTATAGAAAGGATTATACCACCTTTTATATATATATATATATATATGATTAAAATATACACATACACTTTAGAATATTTAAATAGTAATAAAATAAATTACATGCTCCTTCTTGAATGATGTGAATATTACATTGTTTTATCTTCTTAAATTAAAATATACAATTTAATGTATTTAACTTGATACAATTACATAGTGTTTGTGTAACACCATTCTACCTCAAAGAATTGTAAATAAATATTTTTAAAATAAATAACAAGTTTTTAAAGGTATTATAAAAAACCTTTAAACATAACTCTATAAGTAAAAGGTTTCACAATTCTCTTAATAATAATTCTTTAATAAAAAGATAAATAAATGTCATCATAAATCTAAAACAATACATAAACCACCTTTTATACAAAACTCTCAACATTAAAACATTAAATATTGCATGATAAAATAACTAACAACAACTAGGAAACCATAAACTCTTAGCCCTAATATCACACTATTAGAGGAAAACTCGAATGAGTCAATGAAGCATTAAGATTCTCTGTCATTATACTCATCCTCTTATACTTGTTTTACTCTTACAAATGACACTACAATAAATGTGTTAAATAGTGGATGTTATTTTTACGTTTAGTGAAGGTTTTTACCCTCCACAAAATAAATTGCAGAGGTTTCCAAAAACCTTCGCAATTACATTCATTGCAAGCAATTAACAACGTTTTTTAGAAACCTTTGGTATTGTGAGTATTTAACGGCGGTTTTGTTCAGGAGGTTTTAAATCTACACTAATAGTGGAGGTTTTTTAAAGGAGGTTTCAAAGCTATACTAACTACAGAGGTTTTTTAAAGAAGGTTTTAAAGCTACGCTAACTGTAGAGGCTTTTTGATTGGAGGCTTTGAAACATGCTAACAGTAGAGGTTATTTAGTGGAGGTTTTATAGTAAATTAACTATAAAAGTCATTAATCAATATATTTTTGTGGAGTTTCTAATCCTCCACGCTTTCTTGGGTATAATAGTTTTTATACTCATTTTAATCACATAATCTACATGTATTACAATTTCCCATTTTCACTTGTGATATTTATATAAAAAAAAGCTTAATAAAAAAATACTCATAAAATGGATGAAGAAATTCCATTACTAATAACCAAAAACACAACATATAGTTCAAAGATTTATAATTTAAACTTCTATTATAAATCCAAGTACAACATAAAATCCATAACATTGTCAAGTTAGCCTCATACTAAACTTTAAAACCAAAATACATTATATGCAAACTAAGGGTTGCTAGCACCAGATGATCCTCTTGCATCCAAAGGTGTATTAGGCACACTTGAAGCATTGTTTGACTGAAATAAGAAAAGAAAAAACACTCAGTCAAGAAAAATATATATCATAAATGCTATATGATAATGACAATTCCAAACACCCATGACTAGATTAGCCAAGGACCAGAACAGACCAACCAATTAATGTAACTAGCAACATAACCTATAGTTAAAACTAGAACTACAAACCAACAACTCCATCAAGCCAAAACCATAATAGCAACACCAAAACCAGAGATGTGTAGCAACCAACTAGTTCCCAACCCAATAACCAAGGACTTAGAGTAGTTCATTCAAACTCTAAACAACCAAAACTAGAACTGAACCAACAAAACATCCAGCCACGCCAAAAATTGCAATAGAAATCATGTTGCAAACCATGCAACCAAATATTATAAACCAACAAAGAAACCACCCAAACCAGAAATTGCAGTAGAAATCATGCTACAAACCATGTAGCCAAAGACCATGAACCAACAAAACAACCATTTTAACTAGAAACTATAGTAGAATCATGATATGAACCATGCAACCAAAGAGTATGAACCAACAAAATAGCCACCAATACCAAAAATTGCAGCAGAATCATGCTATAGATAGTGTAG